TATATATATATATATATATATATATATATATATATATATACACACACATACATATACATACATATATATATGTGTGTGTGTGTGTGTGTGTGTGTGTGTATATATATATATATATATATGTATACATATATATGCCTCGCGAAGCGCGCGCGTCGATGATAGTGTATTTTCTGACCTGTGGTGTTGTTGTTGTTGTTGTTTTTGCTTTTGCCTCACCCTGCACGGGGCGAAATACACTCCACACCCGCCACCACCAACCGCCACACGTCTGTGCTATCGTCTCGTGTTGTGGGGCCTATCTACGAACGCGCGCACAACCCCCCTTCGTACGAACGAATACCAATATCGCAAAAACAAAAAAAAATTACGCGCCTCCCGGGCCCTCCACACCACCACCACCACCCTCCACTTCTCCGGTTGTGTTACGGATAAACCACCACCGCTTCTCCACCCCTTTCGAGCGCCTCGCAGGTGGCCACTTGGTACAGGGTACGTCTTCACTATTACTAATAGCATGCGACCACGCCTTTCGTTCCTCACCGATCGTCGTTCTCCCTCCCCCTTTTGTATTTGTCGTTTTACGACGAGTACGCGTATAGCGAAGAGAGAGAGATCCAGCGACGACTTGGAGAAGGACGATGTTTGTATTTATTTTTCGAATTATATTTTCCGTGGTATATATTTTTTTATGTATTGTTGATTCACACACAGATTGTCACTTTCAGCTACGCACAGCTTTTCTTGTCGCGTGTCTAAAAAGAATTTAGTTTATAGTCGCGCGCAGTTTCGAAGATACAACCGACGCTCAGACACATTCGATACGAATTGAATTTGTTTTTGTGTATTTATTATTTACATATGTACGTGGCGACGATGATTTATTAACTTTTGATTTCGTGAGTTTGCAGAGAAAGTTGCTGCAAAACGCTGTCACGTCGCGCATTTGTTATACAATCCGGTTATGGTAGTAGAGAGTTACGTAAAATGAATATTTTTACGCATTTCACTAACGAGACGCGGTTACGTAGCGACATTAATCGGCAATTTTCTTATCTGTTTTCTTTGTGCACGCCGTTTAATGTGCAGCGGATATTTACGAATCGTATTTTTTACGAAACGAGTATTTTTTTTTAATTTACTTAAGGTCGAAAATTCGAAAAAAAAAGAAAAAGAAAAATGTGTATGTATATAGAAATACAGGATATCTCAGATCATCATTCTCAAACGCGACAGCGTAGAACAGATTGAAGTGGACATAAAAGTCCCATATCGTTTTGCAATATCCGTAATAAATCTCGAGATATTAATTAAAGAAGATTGCTGAATGATCATGCGCGATATGCGCGAGATGAATTGTAGTGGCGCCATCTACCATTGTATATTTATACATTAAGTAAAAAAAGTTCTCTATCATTTTACAAATTATCACAATATATATATTTTTTTAGATATTAATTAAAGGAAATTTATAGCTAAAATTAATAACTAAAAATCTACGTGGTTATTTGCACAATATTAAAGGACTTTTTTGTTCAATTTGACTAACAGCACACGTCGCCACTAGATATTAATTAGAGATATTAATTAATGAAGACTTGTAAATGATCACGCGAGATATGGTAATAAACTGTAGTGACGATGTCTGCCATTGTGTATCTGTACATTAAGTCAAACTGAACAAAAATGTCCTTTACCATTTTCCTAATAACTTTGTAGATCTTTAATTATTAATTAGAGAATTAATATATCATTGCGAACGACCATCCGCGAATTTTTTCTTAATTAATAATAAAAAATCTGCAAAATTATTAGAAAAACTTTTTAAAGGACTTTTTTTCAGTTTGATCTAATAAACGAGTACACGATGGTAGACATCGCCACTACAGCTCATTTACTATATCTGATCGTAATCACTCACAAATCTTCTTTAACTAATATCTCGATAATTATTGCAAGTGTCACAAAACGATATGGGACTTTTATATTCACTTCAATCTGTTCTACGCTCTCACAAAGTTTGAGAATGGTGATACACATATATATGCATAATTTTCTTTTTTTCACTCTGTTCCTCAACTTTAAATAAACTAAGAACAAATTACTCGTTTTGTCATGCAATTATACAGCGTAGAATATGAAGTATATTCTGTCTCGTCGTTTCTCACGTCTATATGTGGATCTCTCGAATCGAACACTGATATATAACCATGATATAGAATAGGGAGAATAGCAGGATAATTTTAAGCATCCTCTCGTGTGTAATATATCTTCGCGAAGTATCGAATAGCATGCTATGTATGTATAGTGTACATAGTTCGTGGAGGTAATTTAGCAACGCGCGATTGTCCTTAACCATCGATATTCCCGCATGGTGTACTAGTTAGCACGATTGTCCCTTTGATATATTAAACGCGATAGAATAGTCGAATCGCACGGTTAAACTGCGAGAAGATGCGAGAATACGAAAGCTTGGATCCGCGCAATCAATTCGGACGAATATTAATGTCCGTTGTATGTGACATCGCGTTTCCGCGTACTCGCAGCGATTCTTCTCGCGTCCGGTTCCTCTCTGCCGAGTATGGTAAAACTACCAATGCCTGGACTTAACTCTCAACATTCTTCTTATTTTGGTAAATACAAATATTATTTAATTATGAATTTAATTATATATTTATGATACTTAATTATAAATTGAATACGAATATTTAAACTTTTAACATAGAATGTACATAAATATATTTATATACACACGCGCACAGAGAAGAAAAATATCTAAAAAAATATTTATTTACGATGACTAATAACGTATTTACTTAAATTTAAATTCTTTTATTTAAATAGAAGAAACAGTTGCTTTCATGAAAAACATAGGTTTTAAGAAAATATATATTTTCTCATTTGAGAAATATTTGTTCTCAGTGTAAAATTATTCGATATTAGTATAAATAAATATGTTATTAGTATTTACCAAATAAATTGTTTTTATTTTTTAATAAAACAAATTTTTTCTCTTATTGTTACTCTATGTATAATTTTATCATTTATTATACATATAATATATATATATATATATATATATATATATATATATATATATATATATATATATAGTATAATATAATATGTAATAATAATATATTAATATATACTATATATATATGTGTGTGTATATATATATATATATATATATATATATATATATATATATATATATATATATATATATATA